AGATGAAGTTTGGCCATCCTGAGTGCTCCTTGGAGGCTAGGATGGCCAAACTTCCTCACTGAAACCCTATACAGGGTTGCTATGAGTTGGAACCAACTTGACGGCACATAACAGCAGCAACCCTCTTCTATTTCTTAATTGGGGAAAGTGACATATTTAGACACTTAGAAGGTTTAGAACTACTTAGAGGGTTTAGAAATACTCTTGCTGATGAAAGACACAAAGAAGCCACAGAGAATATAGGACTAAAGTATTCTTTTGAGATCAGAGCAATATTCCTAATAAGGATGAAAGGTCTTTGAGGAAGACCACCAAGGCTACTTTGACACAGGGGTCTTTACCACAGATGTGTTCCCTGCAGGCCACGGTCACACTGAAATCAGTCCCCACTTTCTCTGTTATCTGCTTTGCTATCTTGCCGGAGTTTCCTTTTCAGTTGTACCCTGGCTACTAAGGTTCCAGCTTTCTACACCCCATCTTTCCTATACTTCAGATGAGCCCTTACTTGATGCAGGGGAATGGAACCAGAAACACTGTGGGCTGCAATTTAAGAGTCAGATCATGGGCTTATGGAAGAGTGGTTGTATATGCTAACCAGGAAGGACTGATCCCAAGGACTCTGTTGTGAGGATTTTGTATAACGGGACTTCAACCTTCATGAGGCTTAGGAGACACTCCCCAAGGCCATGTCTGGGAGGAGAGAGGGGGCTGACTGCTCACTATCAGGTTTAAACTTTGGCTTCATTGTCGTTGAGACAAACAGTAGCTCCCTCAATCTCGGACAAGGACACTGTGGTACTACAGTTACTAAGCAGTACTGGAGGTCAGGAGAAGGGGAGTATCTTAGGATGATATTAGATTAACCAGGGATCCAAAGCACAGCTCTTGTAACAGGTCCCGGGAGCAGTAGATTCAGGGCCAGTATGTGCTTGTGGCCCGAGAACCTGCCTCAGCATGGTTCAGGTAAGTTGACCTACCTGAGCAAACTATTGACAAGCCCAAGCTTGCCCATGCGCCAGGAGTCACTTGGAGACTGGAGGAGCCTGCGCGTACAAGGGAAGCCTGGTGGGGCACTGTGGGATCAGCACTGGACTGTAAGGTCAGGGGCTCAAACCCACCAGGTCTCTCATCAGAAACCCTACACAGGGTGGTTATGAGTCAGAACCAACTCTACAGCATTTCAGAGCAGCGATAGCAGGCATGCAAAACGCTGTGTACTACAGACTCATAGTTACTGCTGGGCCTGCATGGTACCTGGTGGTATGGACAGGGTAAGGAGGTGAGCAGTGCACCCAATACTGTCTTCCTCCCTCCCCCAACTGGGTGCCATCAAATTGCTGTCATCCCAACATCTAGAAACTGTAGGGCGCGCAGGCCAAGGAGTTGCAACTGCATCAGTCACCCTTTTATAACTAAATGTCTGCTTAACCACAACCCCCTTCGTGTCTTCACACATGGCTGATGGAAGGCTTCCTCTTCGCTTGATGTGGAAATTGCATTTCCAGGGCGACTGGCAGAGCAGAGGCCATACACGGGTTATACAACAAGGATTCTTCAGCCTCGTCCAATCCCTGCCCCACAGAAAGAACTCAATTTTGGTGACCAGATCTGACCTAATTTAGTCAATGAGTTTGATGTCTTTATCCACAATGATTCTTCTGTTTGACTCACTTGACCTTTGAAATGTGACCCCAGTATAATGTTTCACTGACAATAGTAAGGCACTGTTCAAACCGAGGCTCTTTGGTGAGCAAGCAGAGGATGGCGAAAAGAAACAATGCATACCGCAATGGAGCATGGTCAAGGAGGCAGTGGATACAAATAGAAATGCTTCTTGGGTGAAATCCACCTAGGAATTTACCTTACCTGATTTCCCATACAAGGGAGCTTCAAAGAGTTTGTAAAAAATCTCCACTATCTTTTAATTCCGTTTTCCACAAACTTTTTCAAACCCCCTCATATTCACACAATCATGGGACGACATCCTAAATTGTGGGACCCAGTCTCACTCACATTGGGTGTTACTTAGTATTGATTTTCTTGGGAGAAGTTTAAAGCTTGTGTTGTTTTGTTTTGTACTAGGATTGGGAAGCTCCCATTATTCACGTAGCAAGTATCTCAAGTGCTCATTATTCAGATGTAATGAAGTACCTCAGGTCCCATGATGGCAAGACCTGAGGAGAAAAGAGGCCTCACTGGCCACCGGATTCAGAGGGCCACCTGCCTGCTGGCTCTGCTGGTTCCCTTCCCATAAGAACCATCGACTGGTCCTTTCCTGGTACTATTAAATTCAAGTGTCAATAGGCAGCCATCAACCCCAGAAGTATTTTAACTACAACAATTCCTTACATCACTATGGTGGTCGTTACATGCTGTGGAGTTGGTTCTGACTCCTGTACAGGGTCTCCAAGGCTGTAAATCTTTATGGGAGCGGAGAGCCTCATCTGTCTCCCATGAAACTGCTGGCAGTTGCAAACCGCCGACTGAGATTCGCAGCCCAATTTGTAGCCACTACACTTCCAGGGTTCCTTAACATCACTATAAACCATAGCTATAAGACCCAATCCTCTGAAGGTGTTCCCAATTCCCAGTACTACCTGCTCCTTTGTTCTTCTGGAAGGAAAAGAGAAAATCTTCTTAATTAATTACATGCTTGGTGAGGACTCAAGTGGTTACCATAACTGAGCTGAGCTGTTATCTTTTCCAAGCACTTACCAGCAACCAGGTGGTCACCATTTAAAAATCCCAGTAATAAAATGGCGTAACGACTTTCAATTGGTAATTCAATGTCAGGCACACATCTTCCCCACAGTACCCTGTCATGTGGCACACAATACAAACCAGAGGATAAGACAAAAACCACCACACTGGAATGCAGATACAGGATTGTCTCCAAATGGCACAGTACTACAAATACAATGACAGTCACAGAACTAGAGCATAAATATATATTTCTATTACTTAAAACTGAATTGAATTTGTCCTTTAAACTGCTCAGTGATTTATGATACTAAAACCAGTTAAGCTCATAGATACTAGATTATATAACAAGAAATCAAGCACATATTTTTCTCCCTAACCTTTTTTTTTTCCTGGCTGTAAAATATATTTTATTCAGTTTCTAGAAAAGACAAATACATCACTTTTCAACATAATCTATTTGCTTTTCTCTACACTTTGTCCATCTGTCAACAAGCTTTGGTGTTCCCTTATTTAAAAATGTTTTAGGTTGAGCTGGCGAGTCACAAATGCACAGCTGTCTTCTCTTCTTCATCAGAGGTGAATCGTCATCCTCGAAATCCCTAACCTTTTAAATAAATGAACATATTAATAAAGAATCAACATCTAAATAGACTTTTATTTTTATTTTACTTTTTTGGACAGAAAAGAAAGTTTATCACCTTTCATTAGAATCTCCTAAGTGCTGGAAACACGTTAAACTCAGAAAGAGTGGACCTTGTAGAAAAGCATCACAAATTAAAAATATATTTCTCCATGTGATAAAAGTGCTGTCAATCCAATTACAGGACATGGCAAAGGTGTCTTGAAACACAATTGAAAATTTGGCCTACAATCCGTGGCATTGAATTAAAACCAAAGGGCGAGTGTAACGATCACCAACCTGGAATACAGAAACAATATGGGGGTTCAGGAATATGGGGGTTCCAGAGCATGCTGCCAGCAACACTGACTGAACCAAGTCCAAACAAGGAAAATAGTCCCAAAGCCTGAGTAGAATAGGTTTTACATTTGTGAAAATGAGGTGGTTACATAGAGTTGGATTGAAAGGGGGACTGTGAAATTCCAGAAATTACTTGTTTCTTGCCTGTGGGGATGGTCAGGGCAGTAATTACTCTGACCCTGAGGTCCCCACATAGACACATAGCTTGGTTCAGAACAAGCCCCTGATCTTTTGAGAAGTGTGCAGGTGCCCTTATTCCCAGCTGCTTGTCCGGTGGTCCTTTAAGTAATGTGGGGAGCAAACCCCTCTGGCTCCATGGTAGATTACATCCAAGCAAGGCTGGGGTGTCCCCATTTAGGCTTTGAGAAGGATAATAGTGGCAAGGTTATCACACACAAAGGGGAGGAAACCAGCTATTTGTTGTTGTTCTAACAACGTCGCTGTTTAAAACAAGTAATTCTGCTAATGACAATGTCTGTGACAAAGTTCAAGACCCACAAGACTCCCTGTGGTCCTTGGGGAAAGGGCCACCACACTTTCCTGTAAGTGACCCTGGTCCAGTACAGAATAATGATTATGTAAGTTACCAGTGACTGTAGTGATTGAAAATGATGAAGGAGGGGAAAAAAGGCGATGTTTTCCTTTACATTAGCTCTTAAGCAACAGTAAGAAAATAACCTGAAGATATATTTAAAAATAAGAAAAATAGCATCACACTTCACCGCAAGTGCTGTTGGCATTTTCCTTTCTCCCCATCACACCAGCCAAGCTGCCTCCGAGATGAGCAGGGAAACCTTACTGGTTAACTGGATCAGGCACCTGCTATCCATCCCACCACTTCCTCTTAATGGCACCCAATTTGTACTTCTTCCCGGAGACCTAGTCTAAGCTGTTTGCCACCAGGCAGATGTTTGGGAAGCCCACCTGTTCTCCTATGGACCCCTGAACAACTGTTAAGAATGGAAAGTCAAATCTTGGCTGCTTCTCTGTCACCTCTTGGCAATATTAAGAAATGGAGCCAGGTCCCAAACCTCTGCACATCTTTACAAAGGAGGCATTTTAGGTAACAGCATACAACAGCTCAGGCCAGCCCTGAAGCCACTGCTAGCAACAGCTCCCTCAAGCCACCTTTGCTAAGAGATGAGTCTCCCTGCCAGGCTTAAATGGGCTTGTGTGGGAACCATGCCCTGCTGAACAGACGTGACTAACATAGCAATGACCAGCATTCAAATCCATGTAGAGAGCTCGTGATGTTTTGGGGACGGGGCTGGGGGTAGGAAGAAGTGGCAGCTTCATAGAGGCCATGCTCTTCCTTTCAGCAAAGGCCTCACAGCTTCCGTTCGGCGTGTCCAGGTCTCTACTGGGGTGAGCAGGCTCTCTCCCTCCTCTCACCTTCCTGAGCCTCGGGCTGAGGCCAGGCATCAGTGGGATGGTGAAGTGTCCTCCAAGCCCAGCAGCTCTTTGACCAGCCTCTCCCCAAACTGTACGCGGCTGTACCTCTTCACATGGTAGGCGTCAGACATTTTGTACAGGATGTAGGCGTTGTTGATGGCGATACTGATGGCAAACCAGAACACCTGCTGCCAGGTCTTGTTCGGTTTATGGGAAATGAAATATCTACAAGAACAGGGAGAATAAGACAGGTTGGCCTGGGTGAGTTGCAGGTAACCATTTGCCCTCACCATGGCCAGCAAGATGCTGTGAGATCTCTATAGCAAAGAGAAAGCTCAGCGGGCAATGAGCGGGCTTTGTCACAGTGAACATGATCAGCAAGTGGAAATATTCCCTATTAAAAGTAAGGTAAGATGGGGCAGGTTGCTGAGGGAGATACTAAAGTCAGGTACTAGGTCACCTGGATCATGAGTCACAATCCACAGCAGAGCCATGTTGTGTCCTTTCATGCCTCCCAAAGGCCATGCTCTCCCACAGTTCAGGTCTCTCCCAAACCCTGATGCCACAGCTTTCTTGGACCCATTACCGACCAACCCCCTAACACCAAGGAGCACGGGAAGCAGCCCATCTTGGGATAGACCAAATGATATTTTCAGTGTTTTCAAGTGCTGCTGAATCACTCCAACTTAGAGTGACCTGTATAAGGTTTCTGAGACTTTAAATCTTTGCAGGAGCAGAAAGCCTCGTGTTTCTCCTGTAGTGCGGGAGGCAGGCTCGAACTGTAGGCCTTGTGGCTTACAGTTCAGTGCTTATCTTTTGAAGCCACCTTGCTCCATTTTCAATGTATATATATATAGTGGTGGTGTGCCATGGAGTTGGTGCCAACTCATAGCGACCCTGCATAGGGTTTCCAAGGCTGTAAATCTTTATGGGAGCAGAGAGCCTGACTCATCTTTCTTCCATGGAATGGCTTCTAGTTTACAACTGCTGACTTTGAGGTTAGCAGCCCCACTCATAGCCACTACACTACCAAGAGCTCAATATATATATTTATTAGGATATCTAATACCAGGCCCCACCACACATCTATCTGTCAGTGTGTTGCACTGTGGTGGCTTGTGAGTTGCTGTGATTCTGGAAGCTATGCCATGGTATTTTTAAATACCAGCAGGGTCACCCATGGTGGACAACCAAGGTTTCAGATGAGCTTCCAGACAAAGACAAACTAGGAAGAAGGAGTGACAAACTACTTCCGAATATTTAATCACAAAAAATGTTACAAATAGCAGAGAAACACTGTCAGATATAGTGCTGGAAAATGAGCCCCTTAGGTTGGAAGGAACTCAAAATGCAACTGGGGAAGAGCTGCCTCCTCAAAGTAGAGTTGGCCGTGATGACGTGAATGGAGTAAAGCCTGTGGGAGAAAAGCCTGCGGGACCTTCATTTGCTGATGGGGCACAACTCAAAATGAAGAGAAACAGCTGTAGACATCCATTAATAATTGGAACATGGAATGTATGAAGTATGAATCTAGGATAATTAGAAATTGTCAAAAATGAAATGGAATGCATCAACATCAATATCTTAGGCATTAATGAGCTGAAATGGACTGGTATTGGCCATTTTGAATCTGACAACCACAGGGTTTACTATGCTAGGAATGACAAATTGAAGAGAAATGGTGTTGCATTCATTGTCAAAAAGAACATATCAAAAAGAGTCATGAGGTACAACGCTGTCTGTGACAGGATAATATCCATGCGTGTACAGGGAAGACCAGTTAATGTTACTGTTATTCAAATTTATGCATGAGTCACTTAAGCCAGTGAGGATGAAACAGAAGAATTCTACCAACTTCTTCAATCTGAAATTGATCAAACATGCAATCAAGATGTATTGATCTTGTGTATTGTGAATGGAATGCAAAGGTTGGGAGCAAAGACGAAGGATCAGTAGTTGGAAAATATGGCTTTGGTGATAGAAATGATGCTGAAGATCGCATGACAGAATTCTGCAAAATCAATGATTTGTTCACTTGAAATGCCTTCTTTAGACAGCATATGAGACAACAATACACATGGACCTCGCCAGAAGGAATACATAGAAATCAAATTGATTACATCTGTGGAAAGAGACGATGGAAAAGTTCCATATCATCAGTCCAAACAAGGCCAGGGGCAGACTGTGGAACAGACCATTAATTGCTCATATGCAAATTCAAACTAAAGTGGAAGAACATGAAAACAAGTCCATGAGAGCCAAAATATGACCTTGACTAATATATCCCACCTGAATTTAGAGATCATCTGAAGGACAGATTTGATACATTAAACACTAAAGACCGAAGACCAGAAGAGTTGTGGGATGACATCAAGAACGTCATACAGATAGAAAGCAAAAAGTCATTAAGAAGACAAGAAAGAAGGAAAAGATCAAAATGGATGTCAGAAGCGACACTGAAATTTGCTCTCCAGTGTAGAGATGTTAAAGCAAATGGAAGAAATGAGGAGGTCCAAAAGCTGAACAGAAAATTTCAAAGATCAGCTTGAGAAGATAAAGCCAAATATTACAACAAAATGTG